GATACTGCCCTGGAGCCGATATCACGGACCGTCGGAGCTGATAGGATTATTGGTAACAGTTCCGACGTCGCAAGGGGTTTATTCAGATATTTATCGTTACCTCCATGCAGACGAATTCATTTTCACCATGACCCACGACAGAGTTGTGGACTGGTTGCTTCCAGGCGTACCTCCTTCCGGCAGGAAGTTAGCAATTCCCATGATGAGTGTTGTGAACGTTCGCGGAGACCGCCTGTATCACGAACATATTTGGTGGGATCAAGCCGGGGCTTTGAAGCAAGCGGGCGTCATCCCGTCACATATCCCCTACCCCCTTCCTGACGGGAAACAAACACTTCGTCTTCCGATTTCTGGGGCGGAGGCGGCAAAATTGTTAGCAAATGAAACAGATGGGCAGAGTAACGAGATGCTCGGAAACGATTGGGGAATTAGTAATGCATCCTTTTAATGTACCAACATTTATAAGATCAAACCTTATATTCCTCTATCATGTATACATTTATCCTCTCTAAGCAGCGAACTCGAATCTGTCTGGTAAATACAAGCAACAAGCGCGACAGGAACCAAAGATTCTATAGAGTATATGGACATTCCAGGGGAGGGAAAAATACAGATTGCCAGACACCATACTTGTGTTACTGTAAATGAAGGTATTCATATTATCTTATCGTCGGTGATCGTCTCGATAGTAGCAGCATAGGGTGAGCCCCAGGGGAGTTTGATGCTTCTCGTCGAACGCACTGACCGCACTGAGCCAGGACGCGATCGGATATTGGTTTGGTCGTTGAGTGTTGGGTCGGGTGGGACCTCTGCACTACTGCTGGCAAGATAAGCCGGATCAACGTAAGTACTCGGATCAAATTTCTTGTAAGAACTAGCCAGGGAGGCCGAAGAGACCTTTTTATTCAGACCGCCATCACCTGCGTAGAGCGATGACGGTCGGCCAAGTAATTCCGATGGCATCGCTCCGGGTGTGGCACCTGCTGCAAGGCCGTTCCCTCCCCACCCAGACCAAGGCGTTTGATGAGTCGTAGAACCTTGTGGGCTACCGACTACGGAAGCAGGAAGGGGCATACGGGCCGGAGTAGTAGGATAGTTAAAATTGGGTTGAGCCTGGGCTGAGGGCAGTCCATTATAGGCAGTCCTCCCTGTACCCCTTGTGGTGTTGTCGGGTAATCCCCAAGTTGCAGTTGCAGTGCTCATAGGCAGGGGAATACCGGCTGGTGTATAGCTTGAGCCTGGGTTGCCCGAGCCTTCGAATGGCAAGCCACTCGTGCTCTTATGCGGCGTCCGCGAGGGCAAGCCAGAAGTATTAAATTCGGGTGTTTTTGAAGCTGCAGATAAGTATGCATTTAAAATTTCAGGAGGACCTTGTAAAGGTACAAAATTGGCAGGCAAACCGTATTCTGCAAGATGTACTGCAGGAAAACCTGAGGGACTTTGAATCGGAAGAGTGTTAGGGACTTGTGCAAGAGCATTTGTGCTATGTTGTGGTGTCTTCGACAACCCGGAAGACTTCACTCCGGGCGTCTTAATAGCGTATGCTTCCAAGATTTCGGGTGGACCTTGTTGAGGTACGAAACCTGCCGGCAAACTGTGATCAGCCAGTGTGAGATCAACAGTACCCAAGCCAAAGGGAGTGTGGCCAGTTGCTTGGAGAAGTGGCACCTTGGAAGGCGTTGAAGGAGGCCCTTGCGGAGGTATAAAAGGTACAAACCCTGGCGGTAAACCGGATTCCGCAGAATGGGGGGTCAAAAGACTGGTGGGCATTTGGGAAGTAGTTTGAGGGAGGGGTACTCTGGAAGGTGTCATGGGTAACGGGGGTATAAAGGGCTTAGACTCGGAGCCAGGGGTCCCAAGACTTCTCGGGACCTGAGCAGATGAGTGTGGCAGTGGCACTCTGGACGGTGAGGCAGGGGACCCTTGCATAGAATGGCGACGAGACGGCGTTGCATTATTAATGGCCGCTATGGGTGTATGCTCTGACGATGGACTTAGAGGACTCTGATGAAGCCCGATTTTGGAGCCTTTGGAAGAAGGGCGCGACTGAGTAGTTTGGATAGGCACGAAATGAGGTCAGAAAAACAACATGGAAAATATCAATCTACCGGAGGCTCAATCATAATCCCGGGGATTGTCGTAGACGAGGACATTGCTCTTCGGTGACCTTTTTTATGATCAGGCGTACGGGTAGAAACGACATCATCCGGGGATGATAGCGAATCGGTCGTGGGGAAAGTAGGGAAATGACCCGTCCCAAACGCGTCGTACATCTCTGCCTGCTTTTCAAGAACCTCGACATCTTTACTCGCACCCAGACGCTCAGGCATTTTTGTGAGAATACGCTTTTTCGGAGGAGCACTTGCCCTGGTGGTTGAGGACTTGATAGAGACCTAGACAATATCATCAGAACATAGCTAAAAATACATCTGCTCACTCACATCATCTCTGATACTGCGTGCTTGGTTTCTGATGGCCTCTTCAGACGGCGAATGTCGAAGCTGCTCAGCGACCTCGCGCCGATGAGCGAGCTGGGTAGGTGTGAGCGTGGCACCATTAAGGTCAGCGTATTCAGCATATTCGAGAGGGTCGTTGAGAATTCCTTGACCTGGACCTTGGCCTGGGATATTCAAAGGACTTCTAGAGAGCGGCGATTCCCTCGATCGTGATGGACTCTTCATGGACGAATTCCTCGTCAGATTCGTGAGTCGTGGATCACTTTCAGGTTCAGGACTTCCACCGACCGAACTCCCTTCCATGATAACACTTAACTGAGTTCGGTCGAATTTGGAAGGTGCGTCCTCGTCTTCGAAGATGTCAAACTGTGAATACTCGGTCGATGTGTCGGACGGCGATTTGCGTCCTGGTACATGTAACCCAGTCCCAGCACGGGGGGGACCCGTGCGCTGCCGTTGTTTCCCTTTGTTAAGTCGTCCCGTTGGGACACCTGTGGCTCCCGGAGGAAGTGGCGGTAGCGGTGGCGATTCGCCACGCGCTATATTCCGCCCTAGGCCACGGTTCGATCTTGAATTGTTCTCAGCCGAAACATTCGGGTTCGGAGACAGGTGTGGTTCGGGCATTGGGAATGGTTCAGGAGGGGTTGGCTCCTGAACAGTAATGGAGGGGGCATTCGTGGGTACACCGGGAGGTACCAGGTTCTGTGGCGGCGGCGCACGGTAATTATTGATTTGTGGCGGAAGGGGCATGGAAGGTGAATGTGGGCTTGGTGGAGGAGGATCTAACTCGTGCGGCGGAGGTAAGGATACACGACCATTCTCCTGCAGAGGAATATATCCCCCAGGCAAGGGCGACACTGGGCTGTGACGTGGGGAGGGTATGGCATTGTGAATTGGTATAGGAGACAATCGCTCTTGTGAGGGAGACGGGGTGAGTCGTGCGGACTTAGGCCGAGGAACGTCTTCATAGCGAGCGTTCCGTACGAGTGCTGGTTCAGGACTAGGACCTGCTCCTGCATGTAAAGAGGGCAGCTCAAACTCCGAGTCAACACGAGTGTGCGACTTACTAGTTTGTGTAAGACTGCCGGAACGCTTATGGGTCGTATGAGGAGTCGCAGTGCGAGTAGAGGTGACTGTAGGTTTTGTTTGAGGAATCATCGGTACCGGCATAGTGATGGGCTCGGGTATGGTGACGGGTTCTGGCATCCTGACAGGCTCGGGCATGGTAACGGGTTCTGGCATCCTGACAGGCTCGGGAATGGTAACGGGTTCTGGCATCCTGACAGGCTCAGGCATGTTACCTGCGGTAGGCTGAGGAGCTGAAGCGGTGGTTGTCGTCGAGGTTGTCGGCTGCTGGCCAGCGCTGGTAAAGGGAGGTGTCATTGTCGACCGTGAGCTGAGACCAGCTTCATCGCGGAAGATTTCCTTGTAAGCATGCTTGGTACCGAGATGCCAACCCTCTTTACGGCCGTCCACAAAACCCTGAGTCTTACCTTCTCGCCGGCCTTGTTCGAGAGCAAGCTGAATCTCCATCTCCTTAGCCATTGCCCTTGCCTTACTTCGCTCGTTCGCAGCCTCTACCTCAGCTCGTTCTTTTTCGGCAGCCATGATGTTCAATTCTTTTTGAGCGCGAAGAATCTCATTACGTGCCGTTTCTACCTGCGCTTGGTATGCCTTCAGAGCCTCTTGTTCACGCAGAGCGTTGGCTTGTGCAGTCTGTCTAGCAGCTTGCAAGGCAAGAACGCGAGCCTCAGCCTCGCGGGCCCTTGTCTCAGCTTCAGCAGCACGACGACTTTCTTGCTCGAGGCGTTCAGAAGTCCTAATAAGGACCTTGCGCATCTCTATTGCCTCAGCCTCGTCACGAGCGAATAATCGGGTGAGATGTCGCGCATCGAGAGCTGTTACATCGGCAGCGCCACTTCGATCTCTGTGGGAACGAGAACGATGCCGTCTGTGAGACGAGCTCTTGTGAGGCTTTGATTTATGACCCTTATGGCTGTCAGCATCGGATAAGAGTTCTGTACGAAAAGAATAAGATGAGTTAGGAGAGGGTCTTTCAAGGATCTTTCGAAAATCAGAGCTAGATCAGCAAGCATCAATTAGCAAAATGGACGCTTGGCGGCAACATGTAGTACACGTACGCTTCATCGCTGTACACACTCTGCTCACCAGGCATGGTCTCCTACCAAGGGTGATCGGTCGTGGTGGCAGGGCAAAGGGAAAGTAACCCATACATTATTAGAACGCTCAATAGGACCGGAATCCGACTGTGGCGCCATGGTTTGGGGCTGGGCGAACACGGAACTGCGCTGAAGCCACGCTTCTGTGACGCAACAGAATCACGAGATAAGCCAGTGTTGCAGAGCGTTGCAAAGGACTTGAAGACGATGAACCGCGTGCAAGTGGAAGAAAGGACAAGAAAACGCGAGAATGGACCCGTCAAAGCAACAAGACGAAAACTGCAGTTCTTGTGAACAATGCCTGGCGGATCACGTGACAAGATCTGTCGTATGATAAATACACGCAAGAGATAGTCGCAATAACGCCTCGCTAGCTCAATCGGTAGAGCGTGAGACTCTTAAAAAGTCAGGCGGATTGAGATCATCTCAAGGTTGCGGGTTCGACCCCCGCGTGGGGCTAGGATTTCTCTTGTTTTTGGTTGTCGCTGTCACGAACACGTGCTGTGTCTACACGGCAAATCTTGCATATTGTTCTCTCATCACACATTATTGATAATTTATATAGCACACCTTATGAGTCGAAAAAGGGCTTACACCGTCTTCGTCAGGCCCCCAAAAACCCACCTCACCTTGAAAACCTATCTTAGATACAATCACAGACACGGGCTAAGGCCCGCTGGGAGTAAATTTAATGTGAGGCCATACTTTAATGTGATCAAATGTACGTATAATGTTATTAGAATTGCTCAAACGCCCCGCCGCTATACTTCTAAAACTCCACTTTGATACGGTGCGTTAGCTCAGCCTCCTGTCTCATCTTCTCCACGTCTAAAACCCTTAGATTCCCGTCTGGGTCAAAGTTCTTCATACCAGAATACTCGAATACAGGCACAGGATCAGGGAGGCAGTTCTTCGGCTTGACGCCGTAGTCATCAAAAGAGAATGTGCCTCCCGCTTCTAACGGGGCGCGCAGGAGGACGGCGTTCGAAGCGTCAATCGAGACATCGTAGTCAAAGTAGTTGAGAGGCGTTAAGAAGAAACTAAAAATTAAAATCGATGGCATGAGTAAGAGAAAATCCAGAGTAAGATAGCCTTGATGTCGCATTCACCTCGATGCGGCAACATTGGTACGGGTGTTTGGGGCATCTTCAGCTTGAGGCTAAATGCAAAGAGTCAACAATACACAACAAAGTAGGGTGAAGCCACGTGCTAGATGGTGCGTTCCGACGTTAATCCACGCCACCAAATCCTCTTGCACTATGCTCTCAGAATCGAAAAACTTATGAAAATCGACCACTGGGGCACCTGGAAGATGCAAGTTCCACATGCTGCTTGAAGCAGGCTCGGACTCTTTGCGTTTCGAAACCGCTAAATTATATCTACAGATAACGATCAGGTAGCGAAACACCATCGAATATTGAAGGTGTACCTTGCCCATTGCGCATTTTTAAGCAGTCTCTTGGAACCAACAACAGTCTGTGCTGACGTTCATGAATGAGCCCCAAATTTATTCATAGGAAAACTCACGTTGTGGATCGGGGAAAGGCCCGCATGGATTGCATACCCTCGCGGATTGTCCCACCGGTTCATTGCATCTTTGTTCACAAAGGCATATCCACCTTGGAAATTTTGGGGATACTTAAGCATCGCATCGTCTTCGTTTGTGATATACTCGCGTGTGATCTTCTGCTGAATGGATGTTTTACCCCAGTCATCTTCATCGAGCCATAGTTGTTCAACTTCCTCTTGCGCTGTGCTTGTATGCAGAAGGGAGTTTTCTAGCCCCGCAATGTCGAGGTCCACCTACATCCGTTGAAGAGTTAAGTGTAAACGTATGGCATAAGCCGCAGCATCGTTACCTTGTAGTTAATGAGGTGGTCATGAAGATTGCCCACTAAACGAGAAACATTAGTAGATCCACCTGGGAAAGAATGTCACACCTGACTCGTCGTGTCTCGGATTTTGGCTCCATAACTTGCTTGGTTGTCTTCCCAAAAGCCTCCTTGAAGATAACCAGATGCCGACAAGCGTACTTCAATAGTACCGTCCATTTGGAACATGTAATCAAACTAAGTAAATGCCCGCGTCAGCGTCACGGGTAGAGTGAGAGGCAAGCTCCTGGCAGAACTCACTACTAATTGAGAAAGTTTAAAAATGTCAGGATGATGATGCAGTTTTAACTTTGTCGACGCGAAAACACCAGACGCTCACAGTAATCATAACTGGTTGAAATAAGTGACATGCACATAAAAGATGCGATTCACTCACTTGCCGACAGTGCTAATAGTCCTGACCGTCAAGACAAAGCCTTTCACGGCACCAAACTCTCCCTCCAAATAGCCAGTATGTCGAGTAAGCGGACGGCCTGTGTCTTGTTCAAATATACAAATCGCTCGCTCTCTTGTGGAACTGCCCTGGACGGTGTGGACGGTGGCTGGGAGATAGACGGCCTCGTGAGGACAATCGTAACCAGGCAACATATCGCGGGTCGTTGATCCCATGCCAAAATATGAATCCAACCAGGCAGTTGTTGCTTGGGTAGGGTCATTGCCCGCTGTGACGGCTTCGGTCAGCAAATACCTATGCTTCAATCAGATCATGGAATGTGTGCTGTACCATACTGCGCCATGGCTTCTTGCGGTGAAATCTGAGGCGGAGCCATTAGATCAATAGCGTAGCTTAGGGAAAAGTGACTTACTTCGTATATAATTCTTTCACCTCGGAATCTGATATCCCAAAGACTCATGCCCATGTCACGATTGAAACCTAGATATAAGCCCCATCCCATCCAGCTTATGTACTGAAGTTTTCTATCTACTCGGAAGCGTAGACCGGCGAATGAAACCGAGCGGGGACCGGGAAGGTGATCTAGGTCAAGACGGGGTCCTACTCTTTTCCTTGTACTCCACGATTGGTCTCGGCGTTGGTCCGGACGATTCGGTAGACGCTTCAAAGTTCCATTGCGGAAGGCCTCCATAAACGAGTCTGCAGACGAGAATATCTGGTGATTGTAGACTAGCTGCAATGTTACAGAGGGTAAACAAGTTAGCGAAATGTCACAATTTCAAATGGAGGAGTCCGTACGCACCTTGAGCATCTTCCACTGTGAAGGATCCGTGCCGCTAGCCTCAACGTACTGGAAGAAACCTATAGGGTGTAGATAGGGACCGGGGACATTCCGTCTCCAAGAAATCCACATGCGACGAAAAGACCCATCAAATCCAAACGGTGCGGAGGCTCCTGCGACAAGCGTATCGTTCGGAAGACCAACAGCGACTGCATCAAATAATTCCTGAAGAATATCGTCTCAAGTAAACAAACGACGATGGAAAGTGTATATGTGTCAAACCTGGGTAGCTTCAGCAAGCTGAGGCATGATGCTACTGATCAATGGGGCAAGCTCTGTCGGATTGACCTGACCCCGAGCGTTGTATGGGATGTCGTCGCGATGGTAGATCCCCTTAACCTCAGACATTTCAGTTTGGGGGCCTACGGGTAGTGGTCCTACCATATACTCTTTAATAATAGGTACTGGTGCTGCTCCATGGTGAATGATCACTTTCGCAAATCGCTGGGGCAGCTTTCTTAATGTCGCGGGACCAGGGGAGTCAAGGTATGCAAGCGCCTGCACCTTGGGAGGGCGAGCGGCCTCGATGCCAAAGACGACATTGTCATTCAGGTTCGCCTCACCACTTGTCGTGAGATTTAGATGTCTGTCAGGCTCGTTCAACCACTTCCTGATCTCCAGAGCTTCGGGGACTGATAAAGAGGCCCAGAGGTTGACGGACGCAGGCGGTGAAGCCGTAGCGGGCTCGCCTGCGACACATCGTTCGAAAGGCTCGTCAAGGATATGGCCTTCTGGACTTGAAGTGTCCCAGGCATTTTGGATTCTTGCAAGAGAATACCGGTTTGTTGTATTAAGTATAGAGAGGGTGAGTGCCGTTAGTCCAACAAGCAACGTCACCAGTCCGATGTAATGGAGTCTCCTTGATCTTTGCTCGACCCTTTTCGGATGAGGGGAAATCAGTCCATCAGGCTGTTTCAGCAATGCGTACTCGCCAGACATGGCGAGCAGGAATAAGTGGGAAAACAATGTCACAAGAATAAAAGCGATAACACGTATTTTAACCTTCCGGTGAGCATAGATAAGACCGTGACCAATCCTCAGGTTCAAGTAGATAGCAACGATTGCTTGTTGATATCCAAGTTGTTTTAAAAATTTGGTCCACCAAGCATTAGTTTCTGAGTCGAGTTCATGGAAATTTCATCGCATGCAGATGTCAATCTTCCAAACAGAGAATAGGTAGCACAGAAGCGACTGTGTACTGTCTTGGTTGAGTTCAGGGCAGGGCTGATAAGAAAGATCAAGATTGTTTGGTAAGCATTATTCTCACTGCGAAATGAAATTACATAATGCATAGGAACAGCGAATCACGACTCTGTACAAGGCAAGACGATATCTTCTCACCTCAACCATCCACACATCCTGTCCAACTACCCACTAGATCCACTACGCAATAGCCCTTGACTGGGACATATTGCCGAGTAATCATCTTAATCGCTTCCTGCGCAACGAGCCCACCGAGGAACGCAGCCATATTCGGCAGATCGGCGGTGGGCGCACGCGCACTTGTACAAGGACCCGTCAGCAATTGTCTCAGGATATATAGCGAGGATGACTTACATTTCGCCGAGCGCATTGTCCAGTGCTTCTTCCGTTTCTCCTTGCCACTCAAACGGACCGACCATTAGGTGGGCCTTTTTCGCAAGTTTTTCGACGGTAATAGTTGCGATCGGTTCTTTAGTCTGCGAAACGGCTAGAGCCGATAGTGCGAGGTGCGTGGCAGCCTCCTTTGGAGACGTCTGTAATGCATTCACTGATCGAACAGTATGTCAGCAACCTTGCCATAGTATGGGACATCGCAAACTCACCAAGCGCCTCTTCATCGATGTCAATAGCTCCGAATTGCCTCCCGCGAAGCAATCGCAGGCCGTGCGAGTTCTTGACGAACTCATCGACTGTCACATCATCAATTGATAGCTCTTTTCCAATAAGCCCTTTGAATGTCTCTTTCTCTAGCTCAGCCTGACGTTTGTAAAGGTTTTGAAGATGGATGTAACTACTCGTGTCTGACTTCATGTCTGGTAACGTCGATGACAACGGGAGTGTATGAGGCGGCTGTTGAGTGAAACGCTGAAGCGCTGCAAGCAGGTGAAAGAAGACCGCGGAACTGTCAGAATTCGATGACAGGGGTTCCTGGAGCGCAGGGTCAGAGAAGAGCGCATTAATATCTGATGGGACAGTAGTTGGAGTCCAGGCGCGATATGCCTGGGCTGAAGCCTCGTCGAAGTTCTCTTCGTCGACCTTTCTCTTCATTGCCTCGATACTCTTCTTAAACAACTGCTTATCCGCATATGACTGCGGTGGCTTCCCATCATGCTTCAACCATATATCAGAT